CCATACAGCTGGTAAATGACAGGGCCAGGGCACTGACGCTACAACTCACCTCCATCTGCCAGCACCACACAGCTGCCTTGTATAGGTTTTTGAAGGCTTGGTTCTTATTTACGAGTTTAAACAATTTTACCTTTAGGTCAGAAGACCTCATTGTTTACTATAAATTTTGGCAAGTGGTCTTTTTTTTTTTTTTTTTTTTTTGGTGGAACCAGGGATTGAACTCAGATCCTTGCATTTGCCGGTCAAGCGCTTATCCTACTGAGCCATCTCCCCAGCCCCTAAGTAGTCATTTTATACAGTCTCTAACGGTCTCTAACAGTCTCTAATGGTCAATCGTTAGGTCTGCAACAAAAGACTGAAGAATCTGCGACGGAAAACTAAAGGATCCAATCTAGAAGCCAAAGAGTCTGTGCTGGAAACCAGGAGATGAAGTTGAAGCTGACTGTGGAGACTGAAGAGGCGCAATGCCGAATTCTTTCTCAACGCCTTTTTGTGCTAAATTACTCTGGGGCAGGGTGCTCATAGCCCAGAGTGTGGAACTGCCAGGTGATGAAGAAAAATTTACACAATGTATCGGCTGCCAGGTCATCTAGCCAAGTTGACACAACGCATCAACAGCTACAACAGGGTCTCACTATACAGATCTGACTCATAGTGATCCTCCTGTTTTCAGCCTCCCAAGCTGGGTTATAGGCACACACGCCCAGTCTTAATTACCAACTCAGTGCACCTGGGCGCGGGGCCTGCCCGACACACTGGGGGATCAAACCCTGGTCCCTGCGTCTGCATAAGCAGGAGCTTTAGTCTGCTGAGCTATCTGGCCAGCCCATAAATGCAGTTTTTATATCTGTCACTTGGCCAGTAATATTCAGCAGCACACCCACCCTGGTCCAGGAAGGAATGGAGAGTCACAAAGGATTTCCTGGGACACACCGCTTGATTTTTAGAGGGGTATCGCCAGCAGCCCTAGAAGTCACTTTGTGGCTTTTAGATTTGCAGACTACCAGGTCCTGCCTAGAAATTGGACAAACTCAAGCGAGACAGGCAATGGGGCCTAAAACGTCCCTTCTCTGGTAAGAACAACAAAGTGACCCCCCAAGTGGGCTTAACTGTGAGACACAGATTAGCTTGCCCCCCCCTTAATTTGCTTTGCTTTTAAAAACTAGAAAACTGAAATATAATCAGAACTAGACTTAGCAACTAGTAACTATCACATCAAAGTAGATGGAAGACACAAGCGACTATGGAGAGCCCTGTTTAAGAAGACACCGACATACGTTCCAGCCCTTTCTAAGGACGTCTAGTCTTTGTTGCTTCTCCGCCCCAAATGAAATCCCTCTTAGGCTAACTCTTGGTTCTCAGGATCCTGAGAAGTTTCACAAGGTGCCTGAGCTTCCCCAGCCCTTCCTGGCTTTTCCCTCTAGTGCAGCGTGGTATGCGACCCTAAACGCACTTCTGCTCTTTGTGGGTCCCCAACTCCAGCCTATTAGCTTCAGAGAGGACAAAACATGTGGGGGGCGGCAGTGGACCCCGCGCAGCACAAGCCAGGGCCCAGGCAGCAGCCGTGTGCATGCCAGCAGCGGTGCCCAAGGTCCCTTATCGTGGTCCTCCAACTGTCCCTTCTCTCCCTGATGGCAAACTGCGCCCCTCCATCAAGAGCTCTTAACTCTCTTAGTATGCACCGAATCGGAATGGGCTAGATTTTTAACTTTCCCATACGAAGTCACCTTTTCCTCAAATGAATGAAGATAGTTCTGAGGACATAAACGCTTACAGTGATACCATGGCCTGTTTTTTAAGCACTTTAGATTGTAAATCAGAGGGTGATGCATGTAACATAAATATAATCAATTAATTTTACTAATTTACCACACAGCCCATGAGCTGAAAGATGACTGGGACCTGCACCTACCTGTGTGCCCCTCGGGGTTCCACTCCTGATTGTCCAGAGGGAACCACTGGCCTGAATTCTGTGTCCATCCCTCCATTCCTCCGTGTGTGTGTGTGTGTGTGTGTGTGTGTGTGTGTGTAAATTATATAGATACATTTTTACTTTTCAAGCAGTTCCATGATCTTAGTGTGTCTTTTTTTTTACCTCTTTTTTTTGATACAGGGTCTCACTATGCAGCTCGGACTTGCAGAGATCCTCCTGTCTCAGCCTCCCCAGTGCTGGGATTACAGGTGTGCACCACCACACCTGGTTTTAGTGGCCAGCACAGCGCAC